GCTGGCAAAAATTGCACTGTGCTAGCACACTTTCTGTGATTAATAATTCTTGATTTTAAATTGTGGCCTTGCTTGTCCTGTACTGTGGTACATATTTTATTTGCTTTGTCCACCCACCTGTTAATCTTCAAGTATTCATGCAGCACCCCACAGAATGTATGGGCTGATTCACATGTGTAATAATCCTTGCTAGACAATTCTCAGTTAACTATCTTTATTCAATAATATGGTGTTAAAACTGGCATCAGGAGCTAAAAGACCTGTCTACAGTCAACCTGTAGTGCCTGATGTTCATACCCATACAAATAATCATTGTGTTTTGTGGGGTCGAATACTCCTAAAATAAAGACAAGCTTTTAAAAGAAAGGAAACTTGAGTAACTCTAAAGAGACAGAATAAGAAGACCCGTGTCTCATCTCAACTCAAACATATACAAAGAAAGTAGGACTATTTAAGCATCATAAAAGATATAAGGTTATAACCTATAGGGCCCAAGAGCAGCTCACTAAGGGCCTGTCCAGACAGGGGAATTTGGAGCAGTCTGGTTCACACTTAAAATGGTTCTTACCTTCAATGCACTCCATTTTATCTCTCACTTGAGCAATCCTTCCCACTTATACTGGAGATGTTTATTCTTCTGTGAGAAGAGTCCATACAAGTCTTTTGATCGCCAGTTTACTCATGAATAAGGCTTACCCGGTTTATGCGCAAGTAAGGATGCAGCAGCAGTGGACTGTGGTGATGGTGTTGGCATGAGGGGAAAACACTGGGGAGATGAAAGGCAGGTAACCCCTCCATTTAACATACCCCCTTCCTCACCTTTTCTTGCAGCTGTCAAGTTAGCTGGATGCACTGGCTTTCTTTTTTATTTGTAGTTAAATAAAGTAAGTGGCATATGGAAAAATAAATGCATCCACCTAGTATGGCATTCCTTTCAGTTAAGGAAATATTTTTAAAAAGAAGATAAAAATAGAAGAGGGGTTTTCTCCACCCCACCCCCTTTTAATGTCACAACCCACCTATTATATCACAGGGTTGTCACCTTTGATAATGCCGCCCACAGTTCCATCTGGGTGCAAACCATCCAAACAAGCTACACAATGAGATAGTTAGGGCTGCACTGGATTGTACCAAAAAGAATGTATGCCCTAGCACTGTGCCAGAAAGGTGTGCAACAGCTCTTAAAGGGCAGGCTGGATCAGTAGAAACACATGTGGTCATCGTAATTTGGTTCAAATCAAACTGTACAAACCGCTGTAGGTATATATAGTCTGCATAGGTCCCAATTCAGGAATCAGAAGCAAAAGAGAGCGCTATTTTACAATCAAAGACCCATGGTTTTGAAATGGCTTGAGGCATCCTAAGAACCTGCCTTGCTCCCCCTTCCTCTCTCTCTCTCTCTCTCTGCCTGTATAGATTTCAGATACACAGTTGGGGATAGGGACTGTAGGGAAATAGGACATATTGTATGAGTGACATCCGCACCTGTGTAGAACTGCACATGCTGAGGCAAAAGGGTCTCATTACAATCTCAGAAGTTGTAATTGGAGAGAAACATTCATGGCTGCAGACGTTAGGGCAACTCCCCACTGTGACCTCCCACCCCTTCATTACCCAAAGATGCAGCCTAATTATACACACAAAGCTAGTCATAACTGCCAAATAAACGTTATCAAAATATGGTATTCAGAACATCCTGCTCAAAAATGCGGCAGCTTTCCCCAGTCCAGTATCCTCCAAATGTATTAGATCACAATTCCTATCATCCTCAGACAGCACAGATAATGCAGATGGGAGCTGTAGTCCAAGACACCTGAAGACACCGGGCTGAGGAATTCTGCCGTGTGGAATACACTGCCAGAAGGAATCATTCAACACCTTATACTTCATATTATATATCAAATAAATAGTGCCTAAGGGACAGAGAATAAAAACTGTCTGGATGGTTCATTCAGTTGGAACAAGCAGTGGGGAGTTCAATTCTCCACAGTGCCTCTCAGGAGAACAGTTGACCTATGTAGCTTTGGGCGAGCTAAATGGTCCCAGAGCACCTCCAGAAATAAAGGACTGGTTAAACCACTTCTAAGTACTTTATACCTAGAAAATTCTGAGAACAGTTATCAGAACTCAAAATCAATTTTGATGGCATGAAAATGTTATGATTATAGAAAATCAAGGAAATCCTCAGCCTATATCCATACAGTACTTTTAAAATGCCTGCAGGCAAGCAGAACAAATGGCCGTAATGATAAGAAGGGACAGGTGTAAATTTGACACTGATGCAAGTAATATGTGAACCAGTCATCATAACCTATTCTTATAAAATTCTATCTATCTAATATTTTTATTCTATCTAATAAAAAGCCAAGCTACATGATCAACCAAATCATGGGACACAACTCTTACTAGACAGTTCCGCTTCAGGTGACAGAATAATGTTTTTGAATGTTTATTCCAGAAACCAAAAGTTTCATGTATAGAAGAGAGACTCTTACTCCCAGGCATGCCAATTCTGTATGTAGAGAACATTCCCTTTAAAAAAATTAATCTTATAAAGCACTAAATGATGAATTCCCAACCTAATATTCTGTTGCCTCTGTATCTTGGCTCAGGCAATGGCCTTATGGGGTTCTCCCTTCCCTTATATAATACAGTGGACCCTCAACTTACGGAATTAATCCGTATTGGAACGGTGGCTGCAGGTCGAAAAGTCTGTAGGTCGAGGCTCCATTGACCTACAATGCATTGAAAACTGATTAATCCGTAAGCAGCCGTTTTTGTTTCTTTTTTCCCCCCTGTCTGTAGGTCGATTCTCCGGCTGCAAGTCGAACCTGCAGCCAGAGAAGTCTGTAACTTGAAAAGTCTGTAAGTGGAGCCGTCTGTAAGTCAGTTGAGGGTCCACTGTACGTTATAGACTCACACACAGTATAGCCACCATATGGACACTACTAGAAACTGGCCCACGTGGATCAGGAAAGGCTCACTGCATGGATTAGGCAGTCTCCATGATATCTCTCAACAATTCATTCACAGTGGGATAGTTAAAAAAAAAACAAATATGCAAAACAACAACAAAAACAACCAAAAAAACCACTCATGAATTTTTAATGCTGGAAATGATATTTGAAGTCATCCAGCCCAACCCCTGTTCAATGTAGGAATCTTTTAAATATAACATCCCTTAGAGAAGGTTGGTCAGCCTCATCTTAAAAATACATCCAGCAAAAGAGAATCTATTATCTCTGAAAGCAGTGTATTGAACAGTGGAACAGGTCTTACCATTAAGAAGTTTCTTCTAATGCTGCACTAGCGTACATTAATGGTTCAAAACAGTGAGCTGTTTAAAGATAACCCCTGTGTTGTGCTGGTGGTGATGAATTAACTGACCTTTAAAGATTCAACACCAACCCTGATACTGAGCAAATAAAGTTAAAATCAAATGTACAGTGGTACCCCTTACACCACAAGTGGGAATGTTTTTCCAGGGAGGGGTTTCAGTCCCAGGGTTAAATCGGGCACTATATAACAGCAGCTGAGACTGATGGTGGGTGGTGGTGGTGGATCCAGTTGTACTTTTTACTAGTTTGGACATTCTTCCACTAAACATGCCTCTTCCTCAAAGATATCCAGTAAGAAGTATGCCTTAGCACAAGAGCTTTTAGTCGTGTGAAGTATTGCGTAAATCTAGGTACCCAGAAGAAGTCCGAGGACAAAACTTACTTCCATTTAAAAACTTTCTGGGCTACAAAGCAACATCTTCCCAGATTGTAAATTTGAACTTAGTCATGCCGTGTTTCCCCGAAAATAAGACTGGGTCTTATATTAATTTTTGCTCCCAAAAATGCATTAGGGCTTATTTTCAGGGGATTTTTTTTCTTTTCATTTACATCAATCTACATTTACTCCAATACAGTCAACTCATCTTCTTCTGGTTGCCGCACAATAGTGGAGGGCACGGTTTCACTTAACTGGGGCTTATTTGGGGGGTAGGGTTTATATTACGAGCATCCTGAAAAATCATGCTAGGGTTTATTTTCAGGTTAGGTCTTATTTTCAGGGAAAGAGGGTATTTATTTCCTGAGCTTTACGTACCTTTTTTATTGCTGATCAAGTGATCTGCGGTAACAACAAAAGAAGCAAGGGCTGAAAGTTCCCCTACAGTTGTCTTAAATATAGCAGTAAAGAGCTTGTGGCACAAAACTTTTTCAAGAAGCAATGGACATTTTTGCCTGATATGCAACGTAGAAATTATATTTTGCTATCCTTGGTGCTCATAAATTAGCCAGGATTCATACAAGCTTTTGCTTTGAGGCTGTAAAGTCTGTTTTCAGTGACTCTGCAACTGCATTTCTGCATGCATGGTATTAGTAAAGCACCCCAACACCTATCAATGGGGTGGAGATGGGAACTGATGTGGTGTGAAGGGGTGTGCGCAAACCAGTTTTGTTGCTTTATATATGTGCCCTGAGACAGTGCAAAGTCTTTGTGATCATCTCCTGCCTCCTATTTCTTTCTATGTTCCCCTGCAAAGGGAAATCAAAGTTTGCAGTGCTGTCCATGTGGGCCCATGAATGAATCTGACCTCCCTTCCAACTCAGCCTGCACTATTGGTACAATAGAGAATGGACACCATGAGACCTCCTCCTCAAAAAGCTACTATAGGCACAATACAGAAACTGAAGCAAAAAATCACACTTGACTATGCAAAACTGTGAACACATTTTGGGGTCAGTCAGATGGTTCCCTGCATCTGGGAGATGACCTGGGCACTACATAATTTCTGAAACTCAAGGGTTATTAACCCCTCCTTTCTCCTCAGATTTGAGGTGTCATGGAAGCTTCCATGGAGTGGGGTATGGTGTGTGTGTGCTTATGTGTGAGTGTGCATTTGTGTGTGTTGTGTGTGTGTGCGCGTGCATGGGGAGGGGAAACAACGGCTTTTGATTTTCACATCTCTTTATTTTACCTCATGAGTCATATCATCATGTTCTCAAGAGCTGAGTAACTGCTGGGTCTATTTTTACTCTAGTTCAGCAACCTTCCTTTCCTCAGCTGCTGCTGCTACTGCTGAAGAGCTGAAGGACATGAGGCTGGTGAGTTGGGGGTGAAATGGGTGGGCTATTCTGAGGGATGGGGGACTGGGTAGTGATGGTTATTGGGGGGAAATGGAGAGCTCAATGCCCCCACCATTCAGTTAGGGGGAGAAATAGTATGTTAATATCCTACCAGAACAGGATATGATGTGATGTGTATATCATAAGCAAACATATATATATTGTTATATTTGGGCTGGTGAGGGAGAGGCTGAAGGTGAGATATTCCTTTCCAATGCTATTTGGGCACTATGGAAAAATAAAGAAGGAAAGCAGGACATTTTTCCTTCCATCAAAACAGGAAAAAGATGAAGGGGGAAGAAGGGGGGGGTTATAGATCATCAAATTCTCTTCACCATGGGGAGAGTTTCATTGTGTCCTGAAGCTTGGGGTGGTGGTGAAGGAACTAATAATATTATGTGTACCTTTATGCAGAGGATTTTTAAAAAAAACTCATTTGTTCCTAAAAATATGCATGCACCAGAGCACATTATCTTTCGGAGGAAAACTAGTCACCTGCAGCCTAGAGAGAGAGGTTTACATTTTCCCAATATCTCTCTCTCTCACTCTGACGCCCATGAGAAATTCTAAAGAGCAGTCCCGTACTCCCATGGTGTTGTGAAGGTGTGGGATAAGGAGATTTCCGGCCATTCTGTCAGCAGAACCATTACTATGTCCTCAGTCTGGGAGAAAGTAGGAGTACCCATCCCGCAAAACATCAGACATGCCTGTCCCCTCCCCCAATGGCCACAGAAACATCTTTGGAGCCCACCAATGAGAGCCATTCCTGGCTGTGATGTGCATGCTTCACCCACGCGTCGAGGGGACCAATGAATTCAGGACAGGGGCATGCCAACACTTTTCATACATGGTGTTCCCCAATCCGTCAGCCCCAGAGACTCCATCAGCCTTGACCCCAATACTGCCAGTCCCAAGCCCCAGGCACCTCTACAGACACCGGTGGGCCTGTGAGTGGGCAGGAGGTCCTCCTGCCAAAAAAAAGTTTGGAATGGGGAACTCCACCTGATACTGAAAAGGGCTTGGGTTCCATTATATTCCTCAGAAGCACATCACATAAAAAAGAAAGGAAGGAGAGCCTGCACAGTATCTGCAAATGGGCAGATGACCTTCATGGAACGCAAAGTTCCCACGTAGGGAGGGAAACTTGTAGTCATTGGAGAACAGTGAGACATGGATGGAATAACAAGCTGTGGAAAACAGTTTCGGCATACATTCTTCGGCAATTTATTTATCCCTGGTTATACTAGGATTTCTGATTTCTTGGATAAAGCTTGAAAACATTAATTAAAAACAAAATTATTACCGGCCACAATGACTGAGGGATTCTGGGGATTGGAGTCAAGAGAACTTTTCCAAACTCCAATCTTTCCACACTGCTTGATTCATTGTGTATTGAAGCCCTTGCTCCAGACCATTGCAGGAGGAAAAAGCACAGTGCAGGGATGACCAATTTCAGCAGGAGTGGGGGCCAAAATTATCCCACCATGACCTACTACTGGCAGCATATACTGGTTCCCCCTCCATTTGCTTCAAAATTTAACAGTAAAGCTTTCCAAGGTACTCAGTGCATGTATGTATGTAAAAACAGCCTTGGAGGTCACAAACAGTCTGTGGACTACATGATTCCAACCTCTGGGGACAGCTGCATAATTCAGAGAAGAACTGGGGAGCATCCATGGCAAACAGGACAGAGGAGACACAAGAGAAAGATTTGCAGCTGTTCTACTTTTTAGCAAGGGGACACTTGCTTACTTGCATGGGATGCTCTACTCTGGCAGCTACAGCTATTGGTATGGGCAGAAAGATGCTGTTGGTCATCTGTTAAGTGTACCTGCCAGGATTTTAGCCAGAGAAGTATTAATAGTAAGAACCACTTCCCATACAGAACAAGAGCAAGGGGGAATCAAGATAGCCATTTCTGCTGCTACAGAGAAACTATTATGTTTTTTGCCCTCAAATTTGGTTTTAGTGTTCCTTTACTGATACCGCTATCAGTCTCTCTCAAGAAAAAGAGTTGTACTTAAGCTTTATGGCAGCGGTAACCCAAACATGGATTACTATGAGGGCTCAACATCTTCTATCATGCAGCATCTCTCCACCTAGGTGGCATATAGGATTCCCCCCCCCTTAATAAAGTAAAAGGCTTCTGAGCCCAGAGGCCTCTTTTATCCTTCCAGTTCCTGGAATTCAGCATAAAGACCAGCTATTCAAATGCCAAACACCCTTTAATTCTTTAATCCAACTAATACAATGTCAACAGTATCCAGTGCCTTTTCTCCTCCACTTAAGGCTATAACAATGCCTTTAAGGCTAAAACTATGCCTTTGGGTATACTTTTCCAAGCCCTGAATATGAACAATAAGGTTCACAGTAGTAGTTAGAATTATAAATGAATCTGCAGCGGTAATCTGCTTTTTTGGCCAAAGGTAGAAAAAATTCACTTAAAGCAGACATACTCTTTGTCACTTTCACAAGGGAATGCTAGGAGCTAGTTAAAAAAAAACTTTCTAAATTCTGATCATTCCAAGGTGCTAAATTCATAATGTTTACTTGCGACTTTATTTCTACGTTAATAAGATTTCTATTCCATTATTCAACTGGATAACTTTCGAAGTGCCTTAAAACAGATTGTACTAATATAAGGACACACACAAGGACAAACCCTAAGCTTACCCATTCTGATTCGCCTTTGTCCAAGCTGATGGATAGAGTGTATATAGGATATTACTAATGTTAAATAATATTAATTTCCCAAGCCTGATTAGAAATCATGCATGCCATCTAGTGCCACTACAGTATGTAAGCACTAGCTGCCATGATGAAAGGGAATGAAATATATTGCTTAATGCAGCACTTGAAACATGCTCAAATGCTTTGCATCTGTACATAATTTCAGTTTAAACCTTGCCACAATCTTACAAGATTTAATATTAATCATATACTGCAAGAGAAAGAAGCAGCAAGCTGATTCATCAAGGACATTGCTTATGGCCAACTATAAAATAATGATAGATTGAAGTCAGGGAAGAATCCTCCAGATGTGTCCTGGTCACTCTTACACTCTGTAAATGGTAAAGATATACACAACTACCTGCAGGCACACAATGTGACTATGACTTCCATCTCACAAAAGGGAAAGCTAGGTTGCAATATAAGAATACAGTACATGAACAACCCTGCTGGATCAGACCAGAGCCAGCATCCTGTTTCTTATATTAGTGCTCTTCTGTTGTTGTTCCTAAGCAACCAGGGTAATTCAGAGGCTTGCTGTCTCTCTGGATCTGGAAGGTTCATGTGGCTCCTATCAAAAAGGAGGGAATTTGATCTATGGATCATATGTAGCCATCACACTTTTCATGCCACCCTGGCCATTTTGTTTAGTCTTCCTTCACAATGATCAGGTAATTAATGGATCTTAACTTGAAGGAAGGGATCAGAGCATGGGGACTTTCAAGCCTAATTTTTGTGGTAAGACCACAAAGTGCCTCACCTCAAATACTGCAAACCCCAATCATTTCCAAAGCACAATGCAGAGGCTGGAAATTTCTGCCATTCACGGCACATTACTGAGGATCAGTTGGACACTTTTTATTACAAGCAGCATCAGCCTATCTGCATGCAAACAAAATTCTAGGAAAGAGGGATGTCGCTAATATCTTGATCTCAGCCTTCTACTTACTAAGGAGCCCTTTGGTGCAAATGTAGGATATGATTTTATATTAACTGGAAAACACAGGAAACTTCTTTTGCTTACAGGGAATATAAACTCCTTTGCTGCAAATGCAATTTTATAGCAATTATTCAAACTGCTACCCATGAACTCCCCAAGTAATTTAAAGCAAACTTGTTATGCTGAAAGACTGATTTTTCAGCTCAGGAAAAATTTGAACCTGTACTTTTCCCACTTTCAAAGCTCAATTCCTTTGCCACTGAATTGTGTTGGCTCCCATACATCTATGACACTCTGGAAAAGCAACAAGACTCTCCCCAAAGACATCTACCATTGCTTTCCAGAACACTGGTGAGAAACCTAAGAATTCTCTAGATGTTGCTGAGACTGCCATCTGCCTTAGCCAGCCTTTCCAATGATGAGGGGTGATGGGAGTTGTAATTATACAATATTTTATGGGAAGCACATATTTGCTAACCTCTTCATAGAATCGGGCTGTATACCATACCCGTATCTGGCCAAAACCTTGTGAAGATTTGACGAAGAAAGACAATCTGTTCCTTTCCCCTGTTTAACAAATAGCCGCAGAAATCCTTAGAGTCTTTTGAATATTATTTATCCCTAGACCTATTCAGAGCTATAGGTGGATGGTCTGTTTCCAAACATCCTTTTCCTCTTTGTCTGAAGAAGTATTGACTTCTCTGTTAAAGCAGTAGTTCCAAAGATTCCACCCCACATTATCCATGTATAAATAAATAACCTTCTTCCCATCTGAGGTCCTACGTAATTTAGCCGGATATGGAAAAGACAGTGTGCCAGGGTTCAAAAACATAACCTGAGATTTCTGACAGTTTTGTTCTTTAGATATCCCCCATTGTTGGTAGGTTTGTCCTGGACTGTGCACCAGCGATGGGAAAAGTTACTCTTTTGAGACTATATCTTTTAGAACTGTTTCCCAACTTGGGGGGTACCAAAGCATTTTCGGGGGGGGGTCACAAGTAGCTTTATAAAAACACACACACCTGAGTAAGTTACTCAGAAGTAAGATGGTTCAGCAGAATTCACACTTCAGTCACTCCTATTCAGATATACACAGGATCCCAGCCAAATGGAACAATAATGTAGTTACCTGGTGCTTTGTCTAACATGGGAGGGTCATTTGCTACTTTTTCTCACATGTTAAAACTACGGATTGCATAATCACTTTACGAGGACTGATCTAATCAGAAGGTAACCTACAACTGTAATAAACAAGAAACAAACAAATATATAATAAAAGAATATATATGTAATTAAAGGTAAAGGTTCC